GGCCATTCAACGGGCCGCGACTGCAGCGCTTATGTGTTTTCACGGGTTTTTACAGAATCCCGCAGTTGTCCTGGGAAAGTCTGTTGTACCGCGCCTCTCCCGGGAGGAGGAGCCGTTCCCCTTCCATCTGCCTCCGCTTTCCCGCGGGGGCACCGAGGGCTGGCGGTGCAGCGCTCCTGCCTCTCTGGCGCTTCTTCAGCGACATTAGGAAAAGCTTCATGTTCTAAAGTGGTTTTTTGAAAAATCAAAACCCCAGAGCCTTAAAAAATGAGGTCTAAGCAGATAATAAAGAAAGCAGCATGGTCTAATTTAAGCAAATTATTTAACATCGCATTTTACTTTTGATCTTTGCGCTTGGGGCGTGACTTTACTGTCCCAGATTAACACCTCACACAATTTCAGAGCCTCTTCATGATGTACGTACTAACTCTCTCTTGCAGAGCAGTGCTTTCTTGCACAAGCAAGCTGTTTGTTGACTCCTTTTTAGTCGAAACACACTTAAAATTCTGCCTTTACCTTCCAGGCCACAAAAAGCAAGCCAGCAGAGGAGAGCGATGCTCCTCCAGCCAAGAGAGCCCCCATCTTTTATGGCAGTTTGGAAGAGAAAGAGAGAGAGCGTCTGGCAAAAGGAGAATCAGGACTGCTGGGAAAAGAAGGGATGAAGGCTGCCATCGAGGCTGGCAACATCAACATAAGCAGCGGTAAGAATGTTTAACGATGTGGTTTTTGTTTTTGTTTTTTTTTTAATCCTCCTGCTCTGGAATGTGACACTTTCAAAAGTTTCTGATCAGCTTTTGAGCATAATTTAAAATCCAAAAGGTGAGACCATTGCCTGGACTGTTGGCTCCTTGTTTGGATCTTCCTGTTGGAGAAGGATCTCTCGTTCAACCTGGTTTCAATCTGATGGTTTTGGGTTTTGTTCAGGTGAAGTCTTTGATCTCGAAGACCACATGAGTGAGCGGCAGGCGGAGGTGCTGGCTGAGTTTGAGCGCAGGAAGAGAGCCCGGCAGATCAACGTGTCCACTGACGACTCTGAAGTGAAAGCCTGTTTGCGAGCTCTTGGGGAGCCCATCACGCTCTTTGGAGAAGGTCCTGCAGAAAGGAGGGAGAGGTGCTGTGTCTGTCCCCAAGTGTTGCAAACAGAGAACGCTCAGCTTTAGCCAGTTTATCAAGTTCCTGATGTTTTCCCTCTAGTTGGGGTACAGTGAGTGCTGCCAGTCAGTAACGCTTCATTGCAATGCAGCAAGAGCGCCGAGGAAGAAGGAATGGCAGACAGTGATGATTTGTCAGGTTAGCTGAGAATTCACTGAGTGAATACGACTTAATGTGGTTTTTTTCCAGATTGAGAAATATCCTTTCGGTGGTTGGCACGGATGCATTAAAAAAGACCAGGAAAGATGACGACAGGTCTAAAAAATCCAAAGATGAGGTAATGGTCTCTCTTGTTCTCAGTGCTGAGGGGGATCTGTATCTTTGAGATATCTTATTTTGACGGTCCCAGGACTCTTGACTTGGTCAGTCCATGTGTTCTCATGTTGTCCCTTTGTGCTGCTTCTGTGTTGCCCATTTTAGCAAAACTGTGGCAGTGTTTTATCTAAATCAGGAGTGTTAAGCCTTGCTTGTACTTGCAGGTCAAATTCCATGCTGCGCACAGCTTATAAAACAGGAGATTGGACGTTTGGATTGTTACTTAGTATAGCGAGTCCTTCATTGCTGTTTGTCTTCATACTCGAGAAAAAGAAGCTGTGTTCCTGCTACTGCATCTGTTTCTGCCTTTGATCTTTCTTTCTGCTTCTCTGTCTCCTTTCTGAGTTGATTTTTTCCTTATTATTTTGGGAGCTTATTGTAAGAAACAAGGATAATTTCTGCAGCTCTGGGCTTCCATTGGACTAGGTGATGTGCCAGGAAGGAGGGAGTGTAACGATCAGCTGCACGTCATTAAGTAAAATGAGTTACTGTTCAATGGGAATATTTTTGAGTCAAGTGGCCGCACCTCAGGATCTGATCTGTAGGGCAGAGAGTTTGACTTGTCTCTCTTAATCCCTTTTCCTAGGGCTGATAGTTATGCAAAATGCCATTGAAAAGAGGCCTTAACACAGCAAGATTTAAGAGCAGATGCTGTGGTGGCGCTTACGTACTAAGAGGGGGTCGTCAAAGGTAACTGACTAGAAGAGCAGTGTCACAGAAGAGCTTTTTCTTTGGTTTTGTTCTTAACAGTATCAGCAAACCTGGTACCACGAAGGACCGCGCAGTCTGAAAACAGCGAGGCTGTGGCTTGCTAACTACTCGCTCCCCAGGTGAGATAAACCAGCACAAGTAAGGAGGGAGATGCAAGCTTTTGTAAAATCTAGCTGCTAACCCCACTGCGGGCCGTGCCGGGAATTCGAGATGAAAGGAATGAGGAACGTTGTCCTTGGTAGACAAGTCCACTGAGCTCAGAGCTTGAGTTCTCAGTCACTGACTGCAGTGTTAGCCCAGTTTGGGGGAAGAAGGGGGAGAGGCTTGTTTCCAGCAGCAGGGCAGGGAAAATGTAGCGGCTTGTTACTCCACTTTTCCTCTTCACAGGGCAGTGAAGCGGCTCGAAGAAGCTCGGCTGCTCAAAGAGATTCCAGAGGCAACCAGGACATCGCAGAGACAGGAGTTACACAAATCCCTGCGAGTAGGTTTGGCATCTGCTCAGCTGCTGTTCTCACAACTTTTTCTTGATCTTCCAGAGAGATCAGAAAGAGATCAGCTGCCCGGAGTTTGGTTTTCTGCACTGTCATCTGTTAGAAAGCTCCGCTTTTTTTCTCTTCCCCTGTGCTATGCCTAAGCATGTTCTAACTCTTTCTTCAGTGATTCAGAGGGATGAAGAGATGTCCCTGCGTTGCCTTGCCGCTTGTCTGTGAAGCTAAAGGAATTTATTCCTGGCTTTGTCACGGGTTTAGCTGGCTAGGAAGGGACTGCTCACTTTCCTCTTTCTGCACAATGGTCACTAGGGAACCAAGGGAAATAATAACCAACGCGATAGTGCAAAATGTGTTTTAGATGACTCCGAGACGCTCTTTTCAGGCACGTTGACTCAGATTCCCAGCTTAACTGAACAGAAAGGCTCAAACAGACAGTGTGCTGCTGCTCAAATCCTGTTTACACCCAGAGTTATTAGCTGCTGGAGGATTTGCTTCTCCCCTAAGTGCACCACACTACCTGCCCTAGTCTGGTTGTATTTATTGGATGAGCTGTAGAGAGGCCAAAACTATAGCAAGTTCTGTGTCAAACCCGTAGTCGCAAAGCAGGCCTGCGGGATTATTGGTGGCCAGCGCCATGGGTGTAACGTTAGAGCTGAGCTGTGCCCCGGGGCCACGCTAGGTGATGGTCCAGCTGGCTTGGTGGCTCTCCTGCATGCATTTGCCTCCTTCACCTCAGTCTCTGGCCAGGGCTTTCCCTAGGTCGTTGGTACTTTACTCGTTTATTGTTTTCTTTTTATTTGGTTACAGTCCTTGAATAACTTCTGCAGTCAGATTGGAGACGATCGCCCACTGTCCTACTGCCACTTCAGCCCCAATTCCAAACTCCTCGCTACAGCCTGTTGGTACGTTTTCTTTTACAGCACTTGCTTTAGGGGCGAGGAGTGAAGGAGGGGGATGTGATTGGAGACCGGTGAATTGTGAGAGTTCCGAAATCCTTTTTCTTCCTACTCTGAACTCTCTTCACCCCGTTTGAGAGCTCAGCAGAGATTTGACTCTGAGTCCATTAGTCCCTATGGTTGGTTGCCCAAAGCGTATTGGTATCTTAGCCGTTGCAGAATGCCCCCAGGGTGGTTTTGCAGCTGTTTGATCTCTTCTTTGACGTTTCTGTCTACACTGACGTCTGTTTCTTGTCTTCAACAGGAGCGGATTGTGCAAGCTCTGGTCCGTGCCTGACTGCAACCTTGTTCACACCTTACGAGGTAGAGAGCAACTTTCATTGAGACTCTTGGCTTAGTTCTTTTGTTCCTCTCTGGGTTGAGTTCCCATGTCTGAATTACTTTGTGATTCAAAAGGTAAATAAAAAGGTGATTCAAAAGGTAAATAAAAAGGTGATTCAAAAGGTAAATAAAACCTTCTTTGGGCAGGTTTTATTCTAATGAGAACATCACTCAGGCTTGCGGAGCATGGGCACATATCTCCTAATCAAGACAAAGTCCTGGCCTTTCTCTTAGAGCCAAGACCCGAGCTTGTTGTTCCTGTTTGAGTGATATTCTTGTTTTGTTTTAAAACCTGATTTGAGATATTTTGAGCCAAATACCAGCATCTTTGGCCAGGCCACTTAACAGCGGTGAGGTTCTTTGAATGGTGGTCACAACTTTGACTAAATACACATGTGAGGACAAATCTCTTGATTCCTATGTTGAATTTTCACTGCATTTTGAGGGTTACAAACCTCAGCGTGTGAGACTTTTAAGTGGCTGCTGCTGCAGTTGCAGTTTAGCTGTCCGCAGGACAGATGTGTCAGTAATTATAACGCAACTTCCACTCCAGCGTGGGAGGACACAGTGAAAGTGTTCACTGCTACCTGACTAATTAGTGACAAAGAAATGCTGCTTTTCTGAAGAACTGGCCAAGATTTTGATTTTTCCTTTCTCTTAAGGACATAACACCAATGTAGGAGCGATAGTCTTCCATCCCAAAGCTACTGTCTCCCTAGACAAGAAGGACGTCAACCTGGCCTCCTGTGCCGCTGATGGTTCTGTCAAGCTCTGGAGCCTTGAAAGGTCAGAATTGTGCCAGACATGCGCAGCTGCTGCATTGTTGTTTGGGGGTTTATTTTGTGTTATTAAACCTTGGACATTTACCATCCTCCTGCAAATATAACCTTTTCTTGTAGTTATACCAGTGCAATTCCTGGCCTCAGTATGTGCCACCTTCTTCAGCAACCTGATTAGGGGAATCAAGGTGAGGGGAAATCGTCTGAAAAGAATCGAGTCAGAACTGCTGCTGGGCATTGGTGAACTGCTTTGGGTGATGGATGGAGGATTTGGAGATTGTTTTGCTCTTACCTTTCATTTAGGAGAAAACTTCCTTTCTTGTATACTAAGAAATGAACTTTTGAGTTATTGGGGAGCACCAGTATTCGGAGAGGGACTGACCAAACGCATGACCATGCACTGTAGCTTCATCCTGTAATGAAAACAAGTGGCTCTGTCATTGCACAGCGTAGTTTTGGATGTGCAGCATCTGTCTCAAACCTGTGAAGAAGAGACTGGTGTAGATAGCGAGCCCTGGCATCTGCTGGGTTTGAAAAGTGGAGCCCTGCAGTGCACCCGAGGAAGAGGCAGGCAGCTCTGAGATCCTCACTTGCTTATCCTTAGCTGAAAAGCACCGTTTTTAATTGCAGAAGCGTGCCCGTGTGAAGGAACAGGTTGTTTATGAGTCTCTTTAGTTGATCTGTTGAAAAGAAACTCTAAATGCTGCTCAGGTCCTCTGCTGAAGGCTACTGACCTGCCGCCTGTAATTCTAGGAGAATAAATACTCACTCCATCCTGCCTGCCCTGCGGTTCTTCAGAATAGCTGGATTTGCTGTAGTTCAGGATGTGTTCTGTGTAGCTGCAGTAAAACACCCTGCTGCCCAGGGAGTCCGCGGTTTGTTTCTGCTGTTACTACTTTTAAAGTGCTATTAACAAGGGGCTTGTTAATTTTCAGGAAATAATTATCCCAAGAGAACTTTATAACCAACAGGAATGTGGATAAAGGGTTTCACTTAGAGCTTTGGCCATGTGAACAAAAGGCAGAATTCAGAGTCATCGCTTGAAACTCTGATTTTCCTGTCTGGCTTGTGTTTAATTAGCAGCTCTCTTGCTGTGATCGTAATGTTTGCAGAGGCCTGGCTAGAGCCAGCTGCCTCTGACCAGTGTCCCATGATTTTTGTTTCTGTTTTTCAGTGATGAACCGGTGGCAGACATTGAAGGGCACAGCATGAGAGTGGCACGTGTGATGTGGCACCCGTCTGGGAGGTTCCTGGGTACAACCTGGTATGGAGATTTGGTTATTTGCTTTAAGACATTACCATTAGTTGTCTGGCCAGTAACCCAGCGGGCACCGCTGCTTGTCCACAGAGGAGCCCAGCAGGGCAAGGGTTGGCCATTCTTGACAACGGCTGGGCTGTTGCAATGTAAATAACAGCAAGTCACTGGGATTCCAATGACAACACCACCAAGCTGTGTGGTGGGTCGACGTGCTGGAGGGAAGGGATGCCAT